CACACACACACACACACACACACACACACACACACACACACATCACTAATTAGTGCTTACAATGTTCTCATTACTGTCAGAAGCCTCCTCTGAGCTGCTGCTCCCACTCTCGTCACTGTAAACACAGATTTATAGCACATCAATTACACATTTAAAGAGCAGCAGAGAACACCAACAAGCAGAGGGCCCTCACCCAGTGTCACGGTGGCCGTGCTTGGCTCTCTTAGCCAGGTGTTTGCTCTCCAGCTCGTTCAGCCCAGAATCCTTCATGACTGCTTCATACACTAGAAAAGCCACACATGTCAAACAGAGCGCACAATCATTAGGCTGTAACAGACACACACGAGCTGGAGAGGTCATCTGGGCTTTTGTCATATCGCTGCATGACAAGACTTCCTGTGATGGAAAACCTGAATGATCCTGCCTGTTTTTCATTAAAAAGGAATTCAATGTGCAGTTTAACATGATCGTCCTTAACCAGCCAACTGCTGCAGTGGAATAATTCATCCTTCTTGTTCAATATCAGTCAAGATGTGTCCAAACAGGCAGAATCACACCGTGCTGCTGCGTCTCTCTTACCTTTCTCTACCTGGATCCTGAACGCTGTCTTGTTTCTTCTGCCATAGTCCATCCTAAAGACACAATAAAGTCATATCACCAGGACCAAAGCGGTGGAAGCACTGAGCACTGACTTTCATAATCTGAGTCACTGATTCAGATTTATGTGCATTTTCTATTCTATCCCAGCCGTCCTTCACCTCATGCATGTAAAAAGTAAAGGGAAAGGTAATGTAGTTAAAAAGTGGTGAAGCTAATTAATATAAATGACTACCAGACACAGGAAGGAAAACTGATTCACACTTTCTGTGACAATAAACAATGGACTAATGATCAGATGTTTCTTCACTGATTTTCTCAACCCAAAGACGGAGTTTCCAGAGTCTTTGTACAGCTTGTTCTGCTCTCCTCAGTGAGCTCAGTGATGTGAAAGAGGAGTACAATCCCTTTCAGTAGTGAGGTTTTCAGGGCATGATAAAAAAAAACAATCTGGTCTTTACCAAGTCTGAAAATGAAATAAAGAACCACAGGTCATATTTTCTTTTTAACAAAAACGAAGCCCAATGCAGATGCAGCGAATAGGAAAAAAGCACGCCCTAACACTGTGACAGGAACGAGGAAGGTCAGCAGCAGCCGGGTGCTGATGATGATCAGTGTGAACACAGCAGCTTGTTGCTCTGCAGCATTCAGGTGTGTGTTCACACATCAGCAATGATCGTACTGCTGCTGCCCATCAGTCGGACACAGGTCACAGGGTCATCTCAAACACATGCCTGCAAACCTCAGAGAACAGAACCACAATGATGACAGAATGATGGAGAACACCTTTACTTTAGCTTATTGCTGCTGAAGGAACTCCAACAAGCTCCTTATGAGTACTGACCCCACTTTAAGACCCACTAAGGACCAGATTTGTCAAACTGACGAGTCCAATGACTGTATGTGTCACTGTTATCACTGTCTGTGAAAATGTGCTCATACATCTCAGATATTAGCCAACCTCACAGATGCAGGTCTGCAGTGTGATGCATTAAAACCATGTCAGTCACTCAAGCATTAAACATAGAGTTGATGTAACACAGACAAAGAAGAGTCAGCATGCAGGGGCAGAGAGCTCTCTGTTTCACACCAGCACACATCTCAGTGTGTGGTGCTTCACTGGAACCAGCCGTGCAAATCTCAGCTTTGTGGAACAAGCTCGAGTGTTTTATTTGAGCCAGCACAGATGACTTGCCTGTAGAGTTTCTGAAGGTCCAGGGCCATGGCTGACAGATCCACATACTCACTGCTGCTGGAGCCCAGATACTGAAACAGAGTTTAACACGAATGTAAGCAAAGTGGTGGACACAAGGAAAATCACGAGGAAACATCATGAATTCATCATTCATCTCTCACACACACACACACACACACACGCAGCAGATGCTCAAAGAACTTATGCAACACAAATGATGACATCATTGATTAGTGGTTTCAGTAATATGTAATCTGATTACTGGTCTTGGTCACACTGGTACGCAGACTGAGGAGACACATACCTGCTCAACTCTTTGTCTGAGCCGACCGTCCTGCCACCCGCCGCCGTGGCCCTTCATGTCTGTGGCTTCTCTGCGCCTGCTGCAGGACACACCCTCAGCTTTAGTAACCATGGCAACCACAGTGTCATTTAACACTCACCTTTGAGGTTTTACAACAGAAAAACACTGTGTCCAGCTTTCTGTGACAGCCCACAGCGCCTTTACGTGCCTCGTATTCAATTATGATACAACACATTTATACTTCATCAAAGTCTTCATGAATGAGCCTGATTGTTCCAACAAAGCTGACACACAGAGACAAACCCACTCAGCTCCTCACTGCACCACTAACAACACCAGTGTTATTATCTGTTTATTCATTGGTTTTTGTTAGGAGCATCATTTCTCTCATTTCTTTGTTTTGACTATTTTCTACACAGTTTACAGCTGAAATCAGATTTTCCATTAAGCAGTAAACAGAAACGGTCTAAAGGTGAGCGTGTTCGCTCTGGGACAGACTGTGACCTGGCCCCTCGTGTCCTGCTCCCACTGCCTGACACCAGGAACCAGCCCGAGCACCATCTCCAAGCATGTCACGATGCTCGAAAGGAAACCCCAGAAATAACTTCTGTTCATCTGCAGGTGCTGTGTTCAGAGGGACAAACGTTTCCTCTCATCTCTGTGATTTCTTCAGCACATCCAGATGATCAGAGTCGACTCTGTGACAGCAAAATTCACCCAGCAGGGGCGACTATAAAGACGGCTATAAAACCAGAGCTGTGGGTGTGGGCACAGCTGTACGTCCACTCGTGTGTTTTTAAGCACCAACGTGTGAAAGAGGCACAGACTCGAGTGTAGCGGACCAAACTAAAGTCCCGTGGGCTAAACGGCTCCTGCAAAAACGTGACTCACGATCAGAGTAGTGGAGGGCGCTCCTGTTCACGGGGTGTGGGTGTCCGGCTTATATCAGCTGGACGGCATTAAAACACCACGCGGTTTCTCACGCGTGGCTTTTACAGGCACGGGGAAACAGCCTTACCAACACGAGCGCGACACACAGTTATCCCGGAAACGAAAATGATCACATCCGGGTGATTATTTTCAAAATAAAACACAGCCTTTCTTGAGATTCGGGAAACATCAGAACACACCGGTACGTTTCCCGATGTAGTTTGAAAAGCTCGAAATATGAATTTGTCATAAAGAAAATGAGTTGA